TTGAACTCAGGCTCTCGGCCTGTCCACTCTGACCTCCGCACAGCTGGCTCTGCCCCCCTCGTCACAGACACAGACTCTCGGCCTGTCCACTCTGAATCCTGCACAGCTGGCACACACTCTTTCCTCATCACCTAACTCGGGCTCTCGGAGCCTGGAGTCAAACCTGGGTTCCAGCAGGGCCACCAGTGTCCCCAAAACAGCCAGGTCTCCAAGTGAACACTAAGAGAAACAAGCCTTGGATGCTGAAACGCCCTTTTCTGAGGAGATGTGGCTACCAAACTTTACCAAAGACACACTCTTAGTAAGACAAGCATGGGTGCAAAATCTCTGGTCTGAGAATCACGAACGTTGAGCTCAGCCTCTGGGACCCCAAGATCAGAATGGGATGGTGCCCGGTGATGGCTGACTGCCCGGAAAGGAGTAACAGTAGAGGACCCTGAGGGAGTGGGAGAAAAATGTGGAGCAGAGCTCATCATCACAAAACATAAAAAGGCCCTGCTGACTGTCTGCTGGAACCACTAAGACTGGCCCTCAGTCACCCTCAAGCTTGAAACTGAAATCAGATCACCCCGTGACTCAATGTCCAGCCAAACAATAACACCAGGGAGGAACTCACACTTCTCCCACCGAAGGGATTGAAAAGCAGCATGTGCACAGGGACAAAGGCCAGCAGGGAGGCAGGAGAGGACAGATGGAAATGGGGCACACAGAGAGGGAGAGGAGAGAGTGCCAGTGCAATGGAGGGACAGCAACCAAGGGCACGAAACAGAAGGCGAATCAACGGTGGACTGCAAACCCAACTGTTCTCTATAAAAGTGCACTTAAGGAGCTCTGGTGGCCTAGTGGCAAGAAGCTGCACTGCAATCCCAGAGATATGAGGTTCGAATCCACCAGATGCTCTGCTGGAAAAGGAGGGGCAATCTCCTCCTGTACCAGTCAGATCTGATTTGATGGTACAGACACAAAAAATGATAAAATTAAAAAGAAAAAATTTTAAAGTGCACTTAAATCATACATACATACATACATTCATTCAATACTAGCTGGCGGCCAGCAGAGGGCAGAACAATGGCTCCTAGGCTAATTGCCAGCTGATAGTTACAGAGGGAAGGTAAACAGTTTATTTTAGCCATTTTAATAAGCCCCTAAGTCCCCTAACCCAGTTGATACTTAAGCTTAGTTCTTAACACTAACTATTCATAAAACCAGACATCTGGAAACACAAAATAACTCCAGACTGCTCTGGTGTCACCAAGTAGCTGCAGTGCCATGGACGGGACAGTCATCTCATCAAGCGTCACCAAAGAGGGAGCTGGCTCAGCTCCTGGGGAAGCAGGATGAGCCCTGGAAGCCCCTTCTGGACACAGGAACGAGGCAGGGTCCTCAGACAAAGGGCAGGAGCTGCAGTTACCTTCGCTGTCTCGTGCTGTAACCAGGAGACACAGAGCTGGGCCTTTTCCTTGCTGGGAAACAAAGGCACGACCAGGTGGAAGATGTGACGGATGAACTCCTCGCCCTCTCGGCTGTGGCCCCTGGTCCAGCGCTTACCGCCGAACCGGTCCATGCGGCCAACACAGCTCACGCCAGAGAAGGATGGGCTGTGACAAGTCAACGGCTTTTCCTCATAAAGTCCGCTATCGAAGATGCTGTTCTCATCCATGGCCAGGTAGAGGCAGGAGGCTGGAGGTACAAAGCCTGAGGGCACGCCCAGGAAGTGCAGGAAGGCTTCAACCAGCTGAAACTGAAGCGCTGGGCTGCAGAGTCTGATCAGAGACTGCCCAATGTCATCAAACAACACCTGCAACATAGACAGTGGCAGGGCCACAGCTCAGTGTTTCGGGAGAAAAGCAAATGTGAAGCCTCTTGGCAGCACTTCCCCCAAATCTCTTGGACTGCATTTAGCATTCAACATTTTTAACAGACAGGTGCTGGGGTTCCCACAAAGAGCCTAGGTGGTGTAAGTGATTTGTGATCTGATTATAACCTATAACCTAAAGGTTGGTGGTTCGAGCCCACCCTGGGACACTGGAAGGAAAGTTTGTGTAAAGATTACAGTTTTTTGGAGCAGTTCTGTAACTCTTGGGGTTACCATGGGTCGGGTGCCTCTTGATGGCCGCTACCAACAACTACACTTTCTTTGAGGCATGAAAACACCAGAGGCCTTGCAAAGGTCGCAGGAGAAGTGAGAGGCCCGCTGGCAGTCGGCAGTCCCTGAAGCCATGAGCATCTGTACACACCCAGGCCACGCCAGGAGTGAGGGGCGACACAGCAAGCTGAAGCCCAGAGCTTTCGAAGCACCCTGATGGACTCACGAGGTGATGGGGACTCACGCGCACGCCTACCTCTGAATGAACACGAAATTACTTTTGTAGCTGCTCTGCTAAATTATAATTGAACAAAAGTTTCATTTTAGATGGACGATAAGAGCCTCGCTATTTTGTGGTCTCTTTATACATAATTGCTTCAGGAAATGAAGCATAGGCTCAAGAATAGATAAAAAGCAGCAAGTTAAAGAGGAAACTACAGCAGCAATGGACCATGTTAACAGCAATTACAAGGGCCTCTTAGCAAACTGACGATGTCTGCAGCCGACCTGCGTGTAACAAGTTTCAAATGCAAGGCCATGGGGATGCTCCTTCGCCTCAGGTGCTGCCCCTCGGATCAGCGTTTGGCAAAACGGAATCAAGGGAGGAGTTAAGAGCTGGCCCACTGGGGGCCCCAGCCCCAAAATAATCAATTGGACAACTTTTCTTTCTCTGCTCTGATTCAAGAAAAGGTAAGGGAGGAGAAGGTGCTCCAGGCTTCCTGGAGCCTGCCATCATCCTGGGCCTCAAGAAACAGCTTCTGGAAGAGTGAGCCTCGACTCCGTAAAATCCTCACATACACAAGAAGAATGACTCGCTCCTCTCTAAGCACTCCCCTTGAGTCAGAAAAGGCAGCTTAGTGCCAAAGCCCCTCCTCACCATGCCAGCCCGCTCACCAAGCGTCTCAGCACTGCCTGGGCACTGGGCGCCTGTGCTGCTCAGAGGTCACCTCTCTTCCCTCCCCTCATCCTGTGTCCTGATCCGACTCCTTCAGTGCTCCAGGCCCTCACCATGCTGATCCTTCCACCCAGAGCAGGCCTCCAGCACTGAACACGCAAGGGATACGAGCTGAGCGTGAAGCCCGTGCGCGGCCCTGCGCAAGCCCGCTAAGGCCCTGCATGAGGGCCCAGCTGCCACGCACCTGACGTCTAGGGAAGTCTGCAGGCAGCGAACCAAGCCAGGTTAATGTACTCTGCCCCTGAAAATCCCTCCATCCGTACGCAGCACATGCCGCACACCAAGCGAGAGTTGGGACTATCCTCTGAAACTGGGTCAACTCCACGTACCAAAATAGAATGCCTTCCTTTATTTTCATTTGAATCCTCCAGAGCTGCTGGCTACTGCACTCAGAGCATCAGGTGCCAGGTCACTCTGACAGCAGAGAAGGTGACACACTTGAGGTGCCTGTGACTCAACAGGTGCAGAGTAAATGTCAGCTCCTCCTAGAGGGATGTGGACGTGAGACCGTTCCAACCTGGCCCCGCTCATCTTCCGAGTCAGGTAGCTCTGCTAAGTCTTGGGGGGCAGAGAGTGGGGTGGGGGAGCGGACACATGCAAACAATCTATGGCAGTCATGACGCCTCTCCAGGCCTGAAGCCCTGGGGCTACCTTATAAACAAAGTAACTGAATAACCTGGAAGACAGTCTCCAGAGGTGACCACGACACCTACACTCCTACCCAGTCTAGTCCCCACATGCTACCCTCCATCAGTGGCCACTGCAATGCAGCCTGGTCTTCAGCAGGAGAGGGGAGTGTGTGAAGACACAAACGGGCAGGTGCGGGGCTCAGGGAGCTCTGTGGTCAGCCACATCCTGAAAGAGAATCTGCTGCTTCTTGCAGGCAATGGCGGTCCCAAAGGCAAAGGAAGCAGGCAAAGACCCGACCTATCCCCACTCTGACCCTCTCCCCACTAGCTTCCCTCCGGGGGGATGAGGAGTCGTACCTGCCGCTCTGGGTCCTCGCAGTCTTCCTCCGTCTGCTTCTTGGTCTTGTCAGGACGCCATGGTCGCCAGTGCCTCTGGTCACGGGAACGCTCAGCACCGAGCCAGATCTGACACCTGGGCAGCGTCTTGTCTTTTATCTCCTGCTCCTCCTCCTCCAGCTCCTCCTCTTCCTCATCTAGACAAGAAGAAGACTTACAGTGTACCAGCACCCACAAAACACCACCAGCACCCACTCGGCCTATCCCAGGGACGGTGCAGGGCCCAGAGCATCATGCTGAGGAGGCCCAGCCAGCCCCCAGCAGCTGGTAGGGGCTTGATCGCTGGCATCAACCAGCTCACAGAAACCACAGTAAGTGGATGGAATCAGGTGACATTTAGCATTATCAAAGCAATTAACGTGGGGATGGCAAACCCAGTAGCGCAGTATGACTTTCTGGGACAATGGAAACAGTCCCGGTCGGCACCGCCTCATCTGGATGCCACCAGCCACATGTGACTCACGGGCTCTTGAGATGCAGCCTGCAGAGGAACTGGAATTTTTTGGCAATCAACTCCCGTGCAATGCACTGTCTCTGAAAACCCTCTGGAGGGTCAGCTATGAGTTGGTTCTGACTCAATGGCACATAACAACAACACATAGCCTACCCACGATGGGCTTGAGCTTGACAGAGACCATGACAATGGTTCCTATCTGTTCACAGGGTCACCCTGAGTCATCAAAACACCATCACTTAAATAGTCACTAGTGATTATACTTAACCACTGTTAAGGGACCACGACTCTAGATGAAAAGTACTGGTTAAGCAATTGGAATTTTTGGTTTTGTTGTTTTTTTTTTATTTTTGTGTGAGTGTACCGTCAAATCAGATCTGACTGGTACAGGAGGGGATTGTCCCTCCTTTTCCTGGAAGAGAGCAATTGGAATTTTTAACCAGCAGCATTGTTCAAAACTGATTATGACCCATAGTAATTCAAAGTCACTGCCTTGGACTCAGAACTGGCCCACAGCTGACCCTCCTGTGGGTTTTCATAGGCTATAAATCACATGGGAAGAGACTGTCCATCTTTCTCCCTCGGGGCAGCTGGTGGATGCGAACCGCCTGCCTTTTGGTTACCAGCTCAGCTCCTTACCCGCTGAGTCAACTCAAGATCTTTTAAACGTAATTCACTTTGTTTCTCAACTCTGAAACTGCCAAATGAGAAAGGGTCTGAATCATCTGTAAAGTTATACACTGAAAACACAGAACAAATAACCAGGAAAAGTACAGTCACTCAAGAAACAAGTTTGATGGTTTCGGATAAAATTAAACACATACTTGTCAAGAGGCTCAGGACTCGCACTGCTGGGCATCTATCCCAGGAAAAGGAAAACCTACGTTCACACAAGAGCTCATCCAAAAAAACTCGTGGCAGCTTTAGTTACAGCAGCTCCCAACCAGAAAGAATTCAAATGTCCTTCAGAAGGTAAATGGCTGTACCAATAGTGGTGCATCCATGCCTTGGAATAACCACACAGCAGCACAAAGTGGTGGACCATTGCTACAGTCTCAGAGCAATTCCAGGAGGATCACGGGGGGCGGGGAGGAGTCAGTCTCTAAATGCTACACATTGTGTGATGTCATTATGCTCCATCTCGACTGTGGAGGTGGCTACATGACATGCGAAAAAAACACACAATACTAAATAAAGCTCTCATGGCCTAGTGGTAAGGCCGTACGCTGTCATCCCAGAGGCATGTGGTTTGAATCCACCAGCTGCTCTGGGGCAGAAAGATAAGCCGTTGTCCCCTGTGCACTTTAACAGCCTCTGAAAATCCACTGGAGGGTAGGGTGTGAGTTAGTTACAGCTTGACAGAATACAACCACAGCTATACACACTCACATACACACACTTAGTATATGTAAAACAAGTGAAATCTGGGTGGGTTCTGTGGATGATATTAACATCAACTTCCTGGATTAGACACTGCACTGTAACTCGACAAGATAGGGGGAAGTGGGTGAAGGCTCCACGACCCTTTCTTGTACGATTCTCTACCATTTCTTAGGTATCTACAAGCCCCAGCCACCATGCCAGTGCCACGGAGTCGATTCGGAACCACGGTAACCCTCCGAATGGGCTTCTGAGGCCGCAGATCTTTACAGAGACTGCTCATCTTTCTCGTGTGGAGCAGCTGGTGGGTTCCAGCCACTCATCACAGCCCAGTCTGTAAGGTACACCACCACCAGGACTCCTTGCATCTGCCAAGTACTTCACAACACAAAATGAAATAAAAAGTGAAAAATTAAAGGCAGATATCCAAACTGATATTTTAACCCCCAAACGATGGCTGAGTTTCTTCAGGGAGAGAATTAAGATGTCTGTGTTCTCTCTACATTTAAAGCAATCCTTTAGTTTGAGAAACTTACAGTAAGAAACTACTTCTGAGTTACATGTCGAACTTAAAGCCCTAAATTTATTGCATTAAGAATGTAAGGGACTACACAGTTCTGAACAGAATCCATTCAAGTACACAGACCATGAAATAGAATGGAAACAAGGCAGAAAAACCACTTAGCTCTTGCACGTATAACGATTACAGATCAGGAAGAAGAGAGGGAAGGGACAAGAAACGAGTCGTGATGTAGGAAGAAGAAACACCAGAGAGAGAACATACGAGAACTCTTGATGACCCTCTAAAGGCAGGCCTTACCAGGATGGACAAGGGTGCTTGAAAACCACACCAAACTCAACCAAAATGGTTTGTCAACCGGTTTTCTAGAAACAAGAAAACCTGGCTTTTGACCTGGTTTGAATTTGGAAAGACCTTAATCAGATCCATTCAGGAAACAAAAACAATTTAAGAGTCTCTATAATGAAAATGGGACATGTTGCAATACTAATGTAGGGGCTCTGGGTGGTACAGTGGCCAAGGACAGTGGTTCAAAGCGAAAAGGAGCTCCACAGGAGAAAAGTGACAAGGGTCTACTTGTGTGAAAATGTGCAGACTTGGACACGCTGCCAGGCAATGCTCCTCTGTCCCGTGGGCTCTGAGTAAGTGAGAACCGCCATGGCAGCAAACGGGCTTCTAAGTACTGGTACTTTCCCAGCAGCCATAGCACATGAGTTGTCAAAGCTTTTCTCGCTCTCCTGAGAAAACCAACTCTCCCTGATTCCAAGTGGCCATTAAACATTTGCCCGCATGTAGGAGAAGCAATGCAAACTTGGTCTCTGGACACTATTACAGTAACTCATCTAACTGTGAGATGCAGAATGTTATAAACGACTTCACGTGGGCACTCTGCGCTGGAGGGCCCTCACAGCACAGTGGTTAAAGCACTCAGCCACTAACCAAAGGTCAGTGGTTTAAACGCAACAGCCATTTGTGGGAGAAAGATGTGACAGAGATCTGACAGTCGATCTCCATAAGGATTACGGCTTTGGGAAGATGATGGATAGTTCTACTTAGTCCTACAGGGTCGCTATGTTGACTCAATGGCAGGTTTGGGTTGTTTGGACAAAAATGCATTTATTGAGTCTGACTGCAACTGAAAATCACAGCGGCCACCCTGTTAGCATGGTGGCCATGCAGAGGCATGTATTCAGACACGAGCACTCCAGCTCTCTGTGCCGCAGTTTCAGTGGTCATGAGTTTAGGGCCCACTTCCACCCTCCACACATGGTTTTCTCTCCACACTTAAAACCACACGGGCAAGCAGGCACGGGGACAGCCCAGTTCTTCTTTGTTCCCTTGCACTCAAGGGAAAAAGCCTAGGCCACTGAGCCTCCCACTTCCCCTAAATGAGGCAGATCCATCTCCTGAGAGCCCTGCCCAAAGTTACCTAACCTCAAGGGTCCCCTTCTGTGGTAAGAGAGACACCACCCAGGCTGGAGCCCAGAACGGCCACAGAAGGTCCCTCAGACACAGCCTCATCCAGAATGGTTACTCCCACGATGGAGAACCAGGCCCGGCAGGCTGTGCCTGTGACAAGAGGCTGGGTCTCCCTCCACCAGCCATCCCTCCACACCACGCTGCCTTCCAGAGAGGCTAAGGTCCCACTGCAGGAGCCACTAATCCATGCTGGGGAGACGCAGGGAAAGAGAGGAAGACGCTGGCCAAGATGGGCTGACAGTGGCTTCAACACCTAGGACGATGATGGGCAGGAAACACTGAGCTGCGCCAAACAGAAGGTCACGCTGCGGGAGCCGACTTGACGGCACCTTCTAACAGCAAACATCTGGAAAGGGCTGGTCTGGACTGCGAGGTGCACACTACACCATACACACCAGGCACGGGAGCTCCACGGTGAGTTAGTGCGAAAATCACCACCAGTGCCAACCTGTAAACAGCAAGCTCCGGTGGCCTCACAGGTCAGGGGCCCGCTGCTACACCAGAGGTGGAGCCCCTGAGGTAGTTCAAATCCACCATCAGTTCCACCAGAGAAAGCAGATGGACAGCCATGCAATTCACAGCCTCAGTAAACCTGCTGGAGGGTCAGCCTGAACCAGTTCCAACTCCACGGGAGGGAGGGAGACATACCTCAGCAGTCCAGTACTGATTCAGTTCAGTACTGATGACAGTTCAGTACTGATTCCATTGGAAAACAACGTGCTTATATTAGAAACTGTGTACAAGTCATATATATGTTGTTGTTGAGTACCGTCGAGTCGGAACTGACCCATAGCTGACCTTAGCTAGGGGATTTTCAGAGGCAGTGAATCGCATGGGAGGAGACTGTCCATCCTCCAGCGGAGCAGCTGGTGGCCTTGAATTGCGTACCTTCAGGATTGCAGCGCAGCCTCTTGCCCCTAGGCCACCAGAGCTCCCTATACTTTATATGCCGTGTTTGTTGTTGTTGTGTACTGTTGAGTTGGAACCAACCTCTGACCCTCTGGCGGGTTTTCAGAGGCAGCTAATCACACAGGAGACGCCCCCCATCCTCCAGTGCAGCAGCTGGTGGCCTCAAACCACGTGCCTTCAAGACTACAGCACAGCTTCCTGCCACTGTTGTTGTTAAGTGGGCGACTCATAGCGACACTATGAAGGAAAGTCCTGGACACCTGTATAACTTTCGTCCTCTCTCCAGGTTCATAGGGTTTCCAGAGGCAAGCTACTGTGGAAGTGGATGCCACTCCTGCTTGCCATGAGGCCACCTAATAAATTCAATTCTTTTGTAAAACTTTTTTAAAAGGAGCTATGGCTCACACTGTTATTTCTACTGGACGACACCGAAACTGGCTGGAAAGCGTCTTTGGCGTGTTGGGAATGATAACTTTTATAAATGCTACGGATCAAAACCAAACCAGCTGCTGTCTCAAGCGGATTCCAGCTGGTGGCAACGGCACAAGCATGGAGAAGAACTGCTCCTCCAGCTTCAAGACCTTGACCTTTCAGAAACACGTCACTACACCTTCCTCTTGTGGAGCCTCTGGGTGGGTCCACACGGACACTCTCTCGGCTCACACATGAGCGTCCAGCCATGTAACCATCACCCACAGCCTCCTAAGTAAATACTCGTTACATGTCTACAAAGGCAAGTATTTTATAAACTATCTGCCAGTCTGTATGCTGCCAGCAGAGCAGAAAGACAGCCTTAAAACATACACTGAAGTGGAGGGGAATAGTTAACAAGAACAGCCTAGAAAAGGAAAAGTCAACAGTACTTCCTCTGGAAATGAACCTGAGTCCTTTAAGAGAGCTCTATCTGAAGGACGAGGCGTCAACCACCTTGAAGGACCGACAGGGAAGACAGTCTGCCTCCCACAATACCCACTCAGGGCATTTCTGAAACCTCGTTGGCTGCCAGTGTTCTTCTGCTACTGAGAAAGAGAAACAAATTCCAGAAGGTAAGGCACCTCACCGGGGTTGACGACCACCCAGCCACCACGCTCCTGCTGGTGCATCCACGCTCGCCAGCCTCGGGCCCCCTTCTCCCCAGGCCGGGGCTCGCCGCTGTCCCAGAAGGGCTCGAAGAATTCCACCTGTTCAAGGAAAGAAATGGCTGTCAGGGTGAATGTACACAAAACTGCTGAGTCATTCGACAGATCCCTGATGTTTAACCAGTGCTTGAAGTAGACATGTGACAGACCAGACCCCCCAGACAACATCTATCAAGTGTGGTCAGCACTGGAGCCCCCATGACACCACTCTGTAACCTTCTCCCCCAAGTGGGCTGGGACGCCTGACTGGCTCTGATGAGCTGACAGTGTGATGGGACACTCCTGAGGTGACAGGAAGACTAGTTTGGTGAGTAGGGCTTGGAGCTGGTGGGAATCCTGTCCCAGCTGTCACCTCGCCACGCCAGTCTCAGCCAGAATGGTGACACCATCATCTCTCCTAGCACTGCTGGGCTCCTAACTGACACCTGCTTGCAAGACCTTTTGAGGGGAAAGGGACTCAAAATTTCAAAGGACACACTGTGGTGAGCCCAAGGGCACGGCTTAAGTTAACTTTATAGTCCTATCACGTGGTCCAGTGCCCATACATGGTGTGGTGGTGGTGGCTGTGTGCCATCAAGTTGGAAGTGACTCACAGCTGACCCTCCAGAGGGTTTTGAGAAGCTGTAAATCCCATGGGAAGAGTCTGTCCATCTTCCTCTCATGGAGTGCTGATGGACTTGAAGTTCCTGCCTTTGGGTTGGCAGTGCAACCATGACCTACTAGGCCATGTGGACTCCCTACACAGCTTGCTGGCCCAGGTGTGTGGAAGGTTAACATGGGGGAAGAGAAAGGTCTGGCCCTTGAGTAGCTTCGCTCATTCACCCAGCGTTAGGTCTGCAGTGCGACAATCGCTGCACCGACATAAAGAATTCCCAGGGAACAGAGTGTGAGCATAACATGGAAAAGGAAGGTGATCACATTATCAACTGACAATAAAGACTCTGCCAGGGAGCCAAGGCCCTGCTCAATGAAGGCTTTGTGAGACGCCTCTGCAGAGGACAAGCAGGCTTCTATCAGGCACATACAGCCCAGGAGCCGAGGGGGTGGCCACCCTGAGTCTTGGGGGCCATGCAGACCATGGAGAACACACTCCAGCAGTAACCAGAGGGCAGGGCACACAGCCTGCAGTGGGCCCAGGCAGGAAGGGCAGCAGGGACAGGGCACTTCTCCTTGCAGGCTTTGCTCTTGGCAAAAGGGATGGAGAATGGATAATCAAGAGAAAGGCAATCTTGAAGAAGCAGTGTGATAATTGGTTAGAGCCAATGTGTTTATTCCACAATAAAAGGCCAGCAGTATCACAATGCCTGGCCTGGGTTTTGCCCAGTAGTTATGGGAACACTGCCTCTAAGTTCTAAGGGCAATGTGGAATACTGTTAAATAAAAAGCTTTATTCCAAAGATGCCACACAAATGCTTTGAGAAGAGAGGTGCCGTTAGGATTGAAACCTCAAGAGTGTGGACTAGGATCTCAGGACACGTTAGAGCCGTGGTCCTCAACGCTTCAGGCACAGTTCATGCCCTCTGACCCACGAGAAATGGTTACAGCAACTCCCTAAACCAGTGGGGACAAGAGGACTCCTGACACTCACCCCACTTCCCGCCCTGATGCCCGTGCCGGCTAAGAGTCCCTTCGGTTTGACAGTCCATCCTCAGATTATCAAAACTCACTCAACTCAGTACTACCAAGTCAGAGCCAACGCAGAGCTGACCCTCCAGGGGGTTTTCAGAAGCTATAAAGCTCACAGCATGAGATTTCCCATCTGCCTTTTTTGAAGCAACGAGTGGATTCAAACTGCCCATCTTTAGGGTTGAGAGTGAAACTCTCTACCCACTAAGCCACCAGAGTTCCCTGGGAATATCAAGCATATCTTAAAATACAGTAAGTTTGTTACCTGGCTTATTATATTAACAAGAAACATCCTTATTAACTGGTACACAATTTTTAATTCCATTTAGCCTAGAAGGATCAACATGTTAAGAATGACCTTTATTGACAAGTCAAGAAGCTCCCACATTATAGAGGCTTTAGCGTCGTAGATTCAGATACCCTCCGTGAAGGAGAGGAAGACCTTTAAGGAGATGGGTTGGCACAGTGACTGTGGCAATGGACTCCCGTGTGTCAGAGATTATGCGGATGGTGCAGGAAAGGACCGGGCTCAAATCTGTTTTCATAGGGTCGCTATGAGTCATGCTCAACTCGAAGGCACCTAACAGCATCATGCATCCTCCACCCCCTCTGCAGGGTAGGAAACCACCTTTTCTTAGTGGAAAAGGGAAGATGGGCTTTCTTGTATTCCTGCCTCTATGATTTTTTTTTTAATTGCCATTGGCAACCATCACAAGCTGTCAACAAAAAGATCTCCCCACCCCAAACAGGTATGGTGTTGCAAGTACCATGCCACGTATCATTTCAACAATTCTAGCAAAGATCTCAGGGAGTGGAAAGGCTGACTGGGCAAGTAACACAAGACCCAGGTTAGACTGCACACCTACAAGAGCGTGCTGTGTGGTTTACAGCGACATCATAACCACTTCCCTCACTGGGGGGTTACTGGTAAAAGAGGTGGAAGAGGCTAGAGGACAGACTTTGGGGGCACACACGTGTATGTGCACACGTGTGTGTGTGTGTAATCAGCATTCACATAAGGGCCATAAGAAAAAAGGGACATCAGTGAGTTCTTTCATCTTAAACAAACAAACAAACAAAAAAAACCCAAACAACTAAACTCCTTTTTTCTATCTTTGCTTTAGTATTTTCAGTACGGAATTTTCCTTGCATCACCAGGGAATTTCTGAGCAATGGTCCTCAGTAGACCTGGTATACAGACGGGTATGGTGCTGTATGTTCTGCTGTTATCCACGCCCTCCCCCCAGGGAGACAGACGCAGAGCAGGTGAGCGGAAATCGGTACCTGTCCTCTGGTGGGCAGGTCTTTCACGCTGTCGGGTTTGAAGAAGGTGAAGTCGATCATAGCCTGGAACAGGGAAACGGCCTTCTCCGCGTGGCCAGCCTGTCGCAGAAAGTGGCAATGCTGAAGAAAGAGTGCTGAAACGAGAGCAGAGGGCAGAGTCCTGTCACACCGTAACAGAGGAAAACAAACCCCACTCCTAAGAACAGGCAGCTAGAGACCAAGGAACTCTATCCTTGAAGGAGTATTTTCAAAGCTGTCATAGACACAAGGCCTGAATTAAAGGTTTCACAGCAATACTGCCATCAAAGTATCCTCCTGCTTTACATAGGAAACCATCACAGAATGCAAACACGAACATGACATGTGGCATAGAGAAACAAGTCCTGAGGTCAACTAAATCCTGGCTATCAGCTACTCAGAGCTTATTACAGAAGAAAGGACAGGAAAAGGATGATGTAACAGTTTCATCAGAAAGTAAAGACCTGTACTGGCCGATCACTAGATGGCACTATTCACCAGCCATTTTCATCACACGCTCAGCGTCCCTGGTAAACAAATTGCGGTTCTGTCTCTGCAAACTTCACTGGTCTTAACTGTGGCATCATGCCATTTACTAAACAGTGTTAGGCTATCTGTGCAAATTACAAATAATATCAAAAACTAGACTCTGATGAAGAAGTAAAAGCTTGCTATTTTCCTGGTAAATATACAGTATTTCTGTCCTCACATGTTAATAATAAAAGTCAAAATATAAATAAGATAAAAAATCAACTGCAGTTTCAATCGAATGAACAGCTACTACATGCCAGACTCTGAGCTACACTTGACCTTACACTTGGTCCCCCTTCAATGGCACACCAATCCCATGGAGAAAGTCTCACGCTGGTCTTGCGGATGGAGCCTGCCCAAGGTCACACCAGAGTCAGTGAGGGCACAGGCAGGGCTCCGGCACACGCCGTGCCAGCTCCCAGTTCTCCTCATGAGCTGATGCGGGTATCCTGGGATCCCGTGGGACCTATGAGTGAATGTCAGCGGTGTAGCGGCACCAATGGCCCATCTGTGCCATGAACTCTAGGAGTCAGAGCCTCTCACGCATATTACTGAACGAGACCCCATGATGGGGCAAGAAGAGCATCACGGTCACCTCAAGAGAGTTTCTAGAGGCAAGAAGCTGCACTGCAACCCCAGAAGTATGCAGTTCAAATCTACCAGATGCCCTGCTGGAGAAGGAGGGGCAACCTCCTCCTGTACCAGTCAGATCAGATTTGACGGTACACACACAAAAATATTTAAAAAAAAAAAAAAGAGAGACTTGGCCACTGACCCTCAAAGTGGCGGAGAGCCCTGCCTGTCCAATTCAGTCACCACACAGAGCAATGGGAACAGTCTCTTATGCAGTGTCATAACCGACTGCAGAGAGGGGACCAGTTTGGAGTCTTAATACCTTTGAAAAATGTTCTGTATCAGATAAAAACAAATCCTCATATTTTTTTAAATTTTTAAAATTTATTTTGTGTGTGTGTACCATCAAATCGGATCAGACTGGTACAGGAGATTATCCCTCCTTCTCCAGCAGATCATCTGGTGGATTCAAACCGCAAGCCTCTGGGATTGCAGTGCAGCTTCTTGCCACTAGGCCACCAGAGCTCCCTAAATCCTCATTTCTAACTCAAGTCAAAAGAAAACAGAGCTGTGCGTGATGCGGTCAGGGTCCTCCCCTTACCGAACATGGCCTCCTCGGTGCCAGGCAGCACGGGGTGGGACAAGATGCTGCCGTCCTTCACAGAAGACAAAGTGGTCAGGCACTTGCCGTAGAGGCTATGGATTTTGGACACTGAAAAGGTGCTGAATTGGCTCTGGCAGAAGAGGAGGTATTTCTGCCACAGGGCTGTGTCGTTGGGGTGCAGGAAGATGAGCTTCTGCCACTCTTTGAGCAGGGCGGCTGGCTCCCAGAACTCCTTGCAGAGCTGCAGCTTGGCCAGCTTGAGGTCCACGCTGCTCTGGTTGCTCTCGATGGCCCGCTCCAGGATGGCCAGCTTCTTCTCCAGGACCAGCTTCAGGGACCGCTTCCGCTTCTCCTGCTCACCAACCTCGAGGGCGTACAGGCCTGGCCTTCTCATGACCTCGTCCTTGAAAAGAAAACACCAGTTGACAGATGTCAAGGGGCGCACAGGGTGAGCCTTGGAATTTCACTCACCACCAATGATTTCTCATCTCCCGAGAGGACTCACTAAATCAGCCCTCCTCCATGACTGCCTGTGTACCAGGATTTCTTTCCAGCAGAACTTGGTTGTGAGGGTGCCTGTGTCACCTAGCATGTCTGAGCCTGGATGCTTCACGTGACGTACTTACCCACTCTAGCATTATAAACCTAGCTTTATGTATCGGCATCTAGCACAAAATAACATACAAATCTTTTCTGAAGAACCACAACCAACTCCCAATAAAAGCATCAGATGTGGTATAAAATTTGGCAGTGGTTAAGAGTGGTTCAAAAGGAAAGCCATGGATCTGAGAGAGAAAGCGATAGTTCTCCTCCAGGTCCTTTTGCAAGCCTGTGCAGGGCTGTGTCTTGTCTACACCTCACGGACCTCTCTCAGACAACAAATATCTGCACATCGGTCCAGATTGTTCAGACAGCACTCTGTCATGAAATCTCTTTTCTACACCCTGGTAGCAAGTCATTCCTTCACTCTATTCCCAAATTACACTGTCATTAGCATATATGACCGTAGACTGCATTTACTGTTCATGTGCCTGTCATCTTCAATGAACTTAGGGGAAGTTCAGAAGGACTATATGCTAAGAATCTTTGTATACCCAGTGCCAGGATTTCTTCCAGGAGCTCAAAACTTGCTGATTAAATGAGTTTCCCCCAACTCGAGGCGTCATTCTAAAATAAGGGCACAGTGATTAAGTGTGCGGCTGCTAACTGAAAGGTCAGTGGCCTAAGTTTCCAGCCCAGCAGCCTCTCCAGATGAGCCACCAGATATGAAAGTCTTCCGTAAAGATTTACAGCCTTGGAGAATCCATGTGGACGTTCTCCTGTCCTGTGGGGTCCCTGTGAGCTGGAATCCACTTGAAGACAGTGGGTTTATTCTAAGGGAGAGATGTGGGGAGGTAACACTTACCTGAAAAGCGACAAACTCCATCCACAGCTGGGTATCCCGAGGGTTCTCGCGAACCTTCCTATTAAACTCCTCCACTTTGGCCTTGAGAACAGCATCCTCTCTGTCTGTCTGTGAGTCCGATGGCTTGGACTCCTGCTCTGAAGGGCCCTGTCCTTGCAACCACCGTGTGGTGGACTGGTCGTAAACCCCCAGAGGGTTCAGCCAGGAGGTGATGGGTGGAGCTACGTCATCGGGGTCCTTCACAGGTATAAAGGGGATGGGGTCGGATGAGGGAGGTTCCGTTCTACAGCTGACAGCGACTCCATCAATGCTCATCAGTCCCACATTCTTCTTTGTAAAATAGCGCTCCACATGCTTGTGTGAAGGCTTCTTCTCTGTGGGCGTCCCTTCCCAAGATATACACTGCTTCTTAGGGTTGATGCCCAGGCAGGAGTCTCCTTTCCTCTTGTACCTTACAAGGAAAAAGAACAAAGTTCTTAACGGTGCACATCACTAGCTCTGAATGGCTGAGTGCGCTCATCAGACACAACGTCACATTACGCATGGTAGCCTCATATATCCAAATCTACCTTCCTTTCAAACTGTTTCCATTTAGAGAACTATGAAGATTTGCAATTAACTTTTCCTGCCTAGTTTGACTTCTCTCTACACCACTTCAGCTCTTCATTATCGTCTCATGAATTTAAGATCATGTCTATCTCCCAGATATTGGTGATGTATATTCTCCTGGGGCTTTGAAATGACAGCACTGCCAAGTACATTACTGATCACCACAACCCCATGTGGCAGCCAAAGTGGAAATGATTACTCCTTCCTGAACATGGTTCTGAAGAAAGGGCACGCCTCCTCCAGACGTTCTCTCAATGTTGTCATGGGTCCCTTCCAAAGAAGGTAACACAGACAATCTATGTTACATTTATACAATGGAATACTGCACACAGGAGCAATGATTCTGTAAATTACTGTCTAACTTGGGAGGGACTGGAGAGCATTACGTTGAGTGAACTAACTCAGTCCCATAAGGACAAATATTGTATAAGTCCATTATTGTAGAATTAGTATAAGACTACAAGGGGGGATGGATCCAAGGGATGATGATGTGGAGTGGGGTGGGAGATTAATCTTGTGGTTGTACAATTTGATGGGTGGGGGTGAGGGAAATGGGAAGAATCTGGTTTGCAAAACAATGTATTCGAATTCTGTAAATAAACTGGCATAATAAAAATAAAAAAAGAAGGTAACATAGAGCTCTAAGATTCTTTTTTTAATTCTGAGACAAAGTATGTCAGGTAAAATTGCATTTGGATAGTTTTCCCTTGAATGTTACAAGGGGTTGGGTTGTAAATTGCTTTTATGGAACATGTAGGAGGACCCAAAGTTACAATGATGGCTGGATATTTGCACCAGTAAAACGTAAGGAAAATCTGTGTGCTTTTCTGTAGTAAGTTACACAAATAATCCAATTAAAACATGATTGAAACAAAAAAGTTACAAAACAGAAAATAGCCAAAGAGTACATGAAAAAGTGCTGGCCATCATCAGTCCCCAAAGAAAAGCAAATGAAAACCACAATGAGATGGGCTACACACCCACCACAGCAGCTAACACGACAAAGACCAGGAACACTGAGTGTAGACAAGCCATCTGTGGACTCCCCTTCACTGGAGTGAATGTAAAACGGTCCACTTTGGGAGGAACTTGGTCAGGTTCTTAAAGTAAACACAGGCTTCCCCTATAACCTACCTATTCTATTTTTAGGTGGGTAGCTAAGAAAAAATGAAAACACCCATCTACACAAAGCTTTGAGGGGAGCTCTGGTGGCCTAGTGGCAAGAAGCTGCACTGCAATCCCAGAGGAACAGAGTTCGAATCCACCAGATGCTCTGCCGGAGAAGGAGGCACAATATCCTCCTGTACCAGTCAGATCTGATTTGACGGTACACGCACACAAAATAAAAAAAATAAAAAAAAAAAAACAAAGCTTTGTGCACGGATGTTCATGGCAGCTTTGTCCACAACACCCAATATGGGCAAGAGCCCACATGGCCACCGCCAGGAGGAGGGCCAGGAGGTGGTACAGTCATACAGTGCCATCTACAGCAGAGGAAGAAACTGCTGGTAAATGTCACAACGGGAATGAATCTCAAATAACACTGAGCGAGGGAAGCCAGAGCCAAAAGAGAACACACTGTATTCACATGAAATTCTAGAACAAGCAAAACTAATCAATGGTAGGAAGAATCAGAACAGTGGTCGCCTCTGGGGATGCAAGGTGTGGGTGGACTGGAGAGGAGCATGCGGAAAATTTTTGGGGTCACAATAATATCAAAAACCCTTTCTTTCCACAAGAGCCTGTGTTACACAAGCAGATATCTGTCAAATCTCAGCAAATGCTCACGTGATTTGTGCGTCACCACTGCAGGTAGGTGTTTACTAAGGTAAGAAACTGTAAACAAATGCTGAGATCTGGTGGCACAGCCCTTAACGAGAGGCACTGCCAATCCAAAGGTTGCACCAAAGGGAGCTCTGGTGTCTTAGTGGCAAGAAGCTGTGCTGCGATTCTGAAGGTGTGTAGTTCAAGTCCACCAGATGCTCCTTTGGGGAAGGATGGGCAATCTCCTCCTGTGCCAGTCAGATCTGACTGATAGCACACAACAAGAAAACACAACAAAAACTAACCTAAGGTTGCAGCTGTTTGGTGGAATCCACCAGCTGTTCCACAGGAGAAAGGTCATCTCCCAGGCAATTTACAGCCTCAGAACCTGCGGGAAGGTCAGCTATGACTTGATTCTAACTTGACAGCAATGAGTGAGTGAGTGATTTCATGATACATGTGTTCAAGTATTTTTGGAGTGCTGTATTAATACAATCCCCTTGGAAATGTATTAAAATAAACTTTAAAACGATAAAAGGCTGGATAGATTGATGGGAACCTGTTAAAGCAAGTATTAAAGATGGGTTGTAATGTGGTGGACATAACTGTATTCACTGTGAAATTCGTTCAACTATGCTGCGTTTCTCATTTTCTCAGTAAAGATTATGTATCAGCTCCCAGAAAGCAGTGCCTCCATTGCCCGGCCAGGTCAGCGCTGGCTCTCACCCCCTTTGCTGTCCCATTGTCAATGGGGCCTGGAGGGTTCTCTTGCTTTCCCGGGTCCTCTCTCACTGCTCAAGTGAGTGTACTCTACAGTCCCTATATACATGTGTAAATTTACTATTAACTCCTTTCTCTTTATATTCTCTCCAAAGTCTTCCTCATTACCTCAAAATGACCTCACTCCATTCAGTTATGAGTAAAACCAACCCTAACAAAAGGGAACGGTGTGAAGTCACGCTAACACCCCAAACAAAGCCTGTCCATCAGGTCAGCGTTGACTCAGAAAGACCCTGTAGGACAGAGTGGATCTGGGACACGGGATCCCAAGTCACATGGAGCACTATTGATCCATTTTCCAAAGGCTGGTTCCACAAGTCCTACAAGAAAAACACGGCCATATTCCTGCCCTGGGCCAAATGCCCGCCACCCCTGGTGACCATGCCCCCCCAGGTCAGTGTTGGTCATTCCGGCCTGCTCACCTCACTCTGTGTCCTTGGACAGCACTGTCAGTGCCCCTGCCTGAGTGTGAAAACTCAGACCTGACACATCATTTATCGACCCAGCACAGACACCGTGCAGTCCCTATCCTCCTTCGCCTGGACTCCAGAGGCTGTTACCGCTATTTAGCCAGACAAACTCAATGAACTTGAACAGCCATAAACCTGTAAATCCCCAGCTCCTACGCCCAGGAGGAGAGCAGTATCTCCACACTGCAGACAACTTACAGCCTCTTCAATTATACGCTTTCTGAGGTCACTGCTATTCATTAACCCAAGAGTGCTTGTTCATGCTATTGTTAAAGTGTTGGTGACGAACGTCCTTTCCTTTCTCCATCTATTAATAAATAACAAGTCTTTATATCTGTACACTAATTTATAATCCCCTGTTCCTCTCACCACACCTGGAGAGTTAGCAGAGTGACAGTTCCAATTCCCCTTTTATAAATGAAGGAACAGAGGCTCAGACTGGCCAACTGGCATGTCCGTAATCCCACCACTCATAATCAGCTTTTGGAATGAAAACCAGGCTTCTCTGTCCCACGTCCAGAGTTATTCTACCAAACAAGCTGACTCTTTTATTTGTAGACAGTGTGTGGCTGAAAAACACTGAAAGTCAGAGAAATATAGGCTCACATCTCAGTCCAGCTGTTTCCTCATGGGATCCTGAGAAACCACTTACCCTCCCTGGAGAGTGCCCGTGTGCCCGTGCTCCGGTCAGGCTATCAGGAGGGGAGGCACCAGGGCTGGACCACAGCACCCACGCCCACCTTGTACTGAGCACCCACCTTCTCTAGAGGAGCCCTGGTGGTATGATAGTTAACCATTCCACTGTTACCCGTGGGAGAAAGACCTGCTCATCTGCTTCTGTAAAAATTACCCAGAATCCTACACAGCAGTTCTGCTCCAGGGCAAGGTTTAGATCTGTGGTTCACAGGGTCACTACAAGGTGTACACAGTAACTCTGTCACACAGGGTGATGAGAAGTTCAAAATCACCACCACCACCCAATAAGACTGCAGGGAGTATATATAAGGAATTTTTTAAAAACCAGATGAATGCATTATGATAGTTATTTATGAATGTCGTAGGTTTTAGTAGACAAGTGGATATAAATAAACACAAATTAACAGGAACTCATAAAGAAAATTAGCATTGCTCTTAGGAGAAAGTACAAAGTCATGATAAGTGAAAACAAGATTAGAACTTGGAAGTACAGCAAAGTAATGGAAAGGGAAATTTATTTTTAAAAAGTAATTAGCCTATAAAGAAGGATGATTGACCTCCAAGGTCTCCGCTTGCCTCACGCACCATGATTCTCCACCTGCAATTTCCCTTCTCCACCGGCTGTTGGGAACATAGATTGATGTTACTGTTCCTTACGTTCCCAGTCATTCGCTACAAAGAACTAAATGTCTGAAGGATCTGAGCAAGTGCCCAAGTACAGCTGACTAACAGGTTACAGGGGAAAGTTCAAAGTCATTCCCGGAGCAAATACTAGCACCCATTTTTGTGAGAAGCTGGTGGTGTCTGCTGGGACATTGGGGAAACTCATTAGCATTTAGGGTCATTTTTAAAATGGCAGGTGAGGGGGTCGACAAATAAAAAGCTTCCATACCTTTTCGAAATGGCATACTGATTAGACCAAATGGTTTCCAGTTATTGTGCCACAAATTAATTACATCAAGGTAATTTTTTGATTCATCCATGAAATATTTACCAAACACGAATTAGGCCAAGAACTAATAGATTTAATCTGAGCACCAGGGAGAAATAAGATTAACCCAACTGAGACCCTGATGACAAGTCTGAAATGTTCACTCTTGGTATGTGAGGTAAGATGTATGTCTACACACCTTTAACATCAGATACAACAACATGGGCTCCATAACAGACAAGACAGAGACAGACAGACACACAGACAGACAACGCTGAGGCACAGTCTCAGGGGAGGAGTCAGGTGTCAGCAGTTACGAGCAGCAGCCGCATCAGATGGCTACCTTGCTATGTGCCCGCGATAGAGGGACTTATACTCCCAATTCGCAGGATCCGGCTTCTTATCTGTCCTGAAGGTTTCTCCCGTCAGCGCCTGAACGTCCTCCAGCCAAACAAGCTGATGTCCAGGATCAGCAGCAGCATTTTCTTGACTGCAGAATAAAGGTAAAGAAAAAAGGAAAAGCTTTTTACAATCGTGCTGTCACATGTCTGCATTTTCTGAGATGTAACGTGTTTCTCATCATGCTCACCTGAGCACAGGAAACACACCTGTGTCATAGACAGCAGGAAAAATACTCCGTCTGAAGAGTGTTTAAGAACAAGGCAAGAAGCACTTATCTCAGACGTTAATGAGAGGGAGACAGGCATGCACTTTAAGTATTTTGTTTACGTGACTCTAACTTGAATTCATACACAGAAACTGAAAGGTTGGCTGGGTGAGCACACTCAGAAGCACCTTGGAAGAAAGACCTGGTGTTTGAAAGCCAATGTCACTGAAATCCCTGTATAGAGCCTTCTACTTTGAGAGTCCTGGGGACACCATGGGTCAGCGTCAACTCTCCAGCAACCGGTGTTGGTTAACATGAATTGAAAGTATATTTACAAACAGGCTTTTTCTCTTTAATAATAACAACCCCACAATATACTTGCTCTGCATTTCTCGAGCTGAGAGAACTGAAAAACAAATGTAAGCCTCAAGTTACAATACTGAAAGATGCTACGAGCAATATATTGAATGACCCAGAAAACACTGAAAGAAGATGGAGGGAATACCCAGAATCACTGTACCAAAAAGAACTGACTAACATGAAAAATTTTAGGAAGTACCATATGAACAGGAGCTAATGGTAATGAAGAAGGAAGTGGAAACTACATTGAAGGCACTGGCAAAAAATAAGGCCCTAGAAATCGACAGGATACCAATTAACTTGTTTCAATTAACAGATGCAGCCCTGGATGCACTCATCAGTTTATGCCAGGAAATTTGGAGGACAGCTGTCTGGCCAATGGATTGGAAGAGATCCAAATTGGTTCCCATTCCCAAGAAAGGTGATCCAATACAATGTAGAAACTATCAAACAATATCATTAATATCATATGAAAGCAAAATACTGCTAAAGATCATTCAAAAACAGCTAGAACAGTACATAGGGAACTGCCAGAAGTTCAAGCATTCAGGAGAGGCTGTAGCACTAGGGCTGCCACTACTGTCAGATGGATCCTGACTTAAAGTAAGGAATACTTGTGCTTTACTGACTATACGAAGGCATCAGGCTGTGTGCATAACAAGTGTGGCTGACACTACAAAGAATGGCATCTCAGAGCATTTAATTGTGCTCACGTGAAACCTACACCTGGACCAGGAGGCTGCTGTGCCAACAGAGCAGGGGAACACGCGATGATTTAAAAATTGAGAAGGGAATGTGTCAGGACTGTATTCTCTCTCCATACCTATTCAATCTACATGCCAAGCAAATTATTCGAGAAACGGGACTCTATGAAGAGTAATGTGTCATCAGGATCGAAGGGAGACTCATCAATAACCTGTGTTATGCAGATTACACAACTTTGCTTGCTGAGAGTGAGGAGGACTTGAAGCATTTGTTGCAGGAAATCAAGATGAACTTCAATATGAACTTCAGCCTTCAATATGAACTACATCTCAATGTCAAGAAAAGATTCTTATCACTGGACCAATAGGCAAAATCTGACAGATGGAGAAGAGATCAAGTGTCAACAACTTCATCTTACTTGGAATTACAATTAACACCCTTGGTACCAGCAGCCAGGAAATAGGGAGATGTACTACACTGGGAAAGTCTGCAGTTAGGGATGTCTCCAAATTATTGAGGAGTAATGATGTCAGCTTGAGGACTAAGATGTGTCTGATTCAGGCCATCGACTTTCTGATCACTTGCATCTGGGAGCTGGACAATGAATAGGGATGACAGAAGTAAAACTGACACCTTTTGAGCTAAGGAATTGGAGAAGAGCAGTGAACATTCCATGGACTGCCAAGAGAACAAACAGATGTGTCTCGGAGAGAGTGCAGCCAGAGTGCTCTTTGGAGGCAAGTATGATGAACGCTCACATACTTCAGGCCTGTTGCTAGGAAGCTCTATTCCTTGGAGAGGGACAAGATGCTGGGTAGGGGGAGGACTGGTGAAGGAGAGAAAGACCCCCAACCAGGTGGATTGACATGGTGACTGCTGCAATGGGCTCTAGTGTGTCAACACGTCTGAAGATGGCACAGAATAGGAGGGGGTTCATAGGCATGAATACACCATTAGTCATTAGTCATACTTGACATGACAGCATCTAACAACTACTATACTGGAAAAGGTGCAACCAGAGTGCTCCTTGGAAGCAAGGATGGTGAATCTTTGTCTCTCATACTTTGGACATGTTGCTAGGAGAGGCTTTTCCTTGGAGAGGGACATCATGCTTAGAAGGGTGGAGGGTCGGCAAAGGAGAGGAAGACCCTCAACCAGATGGACTTATACGGTGACTGCAGCCATGGCCTCAAGTATGTCAGAGATGAAGAGGATGACACAGGATAGGAGAGTGTTCAGGTCTGTTGTCCACAGGATTGCTATGGGTAATACTCGACAGCACCTACCAACAACAACAAAAGGCATGTTAAATAGCCCTGGTAGCATAGTACATATCTCAGGCTGCAGATCTAAAGGTCAGTGATTCTGCTGCTGGGGGAGAAAGATGGGCAGTCTCCTTCTGTCAAGATTTACAGCCTCAGAACCCAGTGTGGAAGGAAGCTGCTGTGGGCCGGCCCACCTTGGGGGCAGTGGGTTTTGGGTGTCTGGTTTCACAGGACATAGAGTACTAGTGAGAAAAAAACAACACATCTTCCAAGGTGACAACTGTGAACGTAAAACCGGTTACTCTAACTTCACCCAAGTGATCTGGAAGTGCCCAAAGACTTTTCTTGGACTGAAAACTGTCACATGTACACAAAGCCCCACTCCTGAACAGCTGAGGCTCAGACATGATTTGATCTTGGTCTAAGTCTGATCTCTGTGACCCAGGCTCTCAGTGTGCTGTTCACCTCTACATGTGGCCCTACTGCTGAGGTGGAACAGAGACAGCCCCTTGAGGACAAGAACCTATATCAATTTGTAAGCTGGCAGCCTTTTAACATAGATACAAATGGAACTCCGTCCCTAGGTGTTAAGTGAGAGGGAGGGGAGATTTTACAGACAGCTCACATCTTTCTTCCTAGTTCATAAAGCTGCTGGCAGGAGAAGCTGCCAAAGAAGTCAAGCTGCCATTAACTGGTGTCCTAGCCCTGCTTTTAGGCTCAGCCCAGAAGATTCTAAGTGATTCCTGGCTCCCAATACAAAAGAAAAGCATTACAGGGTCACAAAGCAGCTACTCAAGAAATGTGTTCTGACTGACGAACCTCAGGTTAAATATATGGTGACATTAACCAGTCTCCCTCCAGAAGCACCATGGAGGGTGTTCTGTTTACAATAACCCCAAGGGGTAAAGAAAGGAGGCAGAGCCCTTCAGAGAGAGAAATGCAACCAGAAAGAAAAGTGAGCTGGAGGTTGTGGGGGAGGCCCAGGGGCAGTACCCTCTCCAGGGAGTAAACAAGGCCTCATCCCTTCCTGTTGGGTATGGCGCTGGGAAAGCAGGATGGGGGGATGGGCTGTGTGTCTCTGCCTGGAGAAGCTCATGCAGAAGAGGCCCATTAGCAGCTGTGGCCTCTGGGGTATACACGATGTCCTGTGGGAGATCTATTCCTAAGGAGAAAGACAGTAAGTCCTTCTTCCTCTCATCACCTTCCACTTTTCCCCACATCAGTAAGACTCCTGAACTCCCGAGCGGAAAACAAATGATCCTGATCGTCTTCCAAAGGAGAAGTTGAAGAAGTTAATGGTTAGAAAGTTAAAACGAACAAAAAAGTCATCTGGACTTTAACAGAGGCTTCTGATATTCTGCAAGACAGCAGAAACCTTAAAAACGTTCCCTGATCATAAAGTTATCAAGAGGCTGTGAGGGTTAGCTCTAGGGGAGTCAAGTGGGACTGAAAAGAACAACTTTCCACATCCTTAAAGTAGTTTCTGTGTGGTTTCAGGAGAGAACAGTTTAAAAGTGATATATGATTGGGTATTACGGTTATGACAAGAGTCCAGAATGAAGGCTGCATAATGGAGTGTACTGGGTCGGAGGAGGATTGTATACCAATGAAGGAATTTTTCTTTCACTTTTCAAAGAGAAGAGCGAACTGGGGGGTAGGGGTGGGCAGGGAGAAAAACGCAACAATGAATGAATGGAAATCCAAAGTCTCTGTAAACATTCATTAAAATTAATAAAACATTTTTTTAAAAGACACAGTACCCTAAAAAAAAAGCCTTCTGTTATTTATAGGCATTAACAACATATTTAAAAAAATGGCAGTATCCAAAAGTTTTTAGAAGATACATTGATGAAGGTATTTTGCTTTGAAGAAATTTAAAAATCAAAACTGTCAATATGTTCATTCATTCACTCAGAAACAGAAACACGCTGATGTTCACTTACTACCTACTGGGCCTGTGCATGAGGTAGCGGGCTGTGCATACAGCAAGGCAGCCGGAGACCCGCAGACACTGTTGCAAGGACACCAAGATCCTGGGTGCCTGCGGTGTCTGCATTTCAGATGTCAACACACAGGACCAGATTCCAGACCCGCCGGGTCCTCAGAGCTGCCACTGACTCAGAGGTGTTCCAAGAGCACAACAAAAGTAAAGAGGTAAATCTAAAGAGCTGGAAACCTCTAAATAGTGTTACTTTTTGTCTTCTTATTCATGGACAGGCATATAAATTCTCTCTTTTCTAAGAGCAAAGGAAAGAAAACAGTTACCTGGGCAACAGTCAGGTAGTTTCCCCACATACCACCTGTTCTACATACAGGCTTCTCTCTGTGGGAGGATGTCAGATAAAGCACAAAAGAAAGGTTGTCACCAAGTATACACTTGGTGGCCATTCTGTACAATGACTTGACCATACTCACAGGTTACAGAGTGAAGCGTGGAAAGAGATGAAGGTATTACTGTAATGACAGGAGTCCAGATCGAAGGCTGCAGAGTGGAGTGGACTTTGGGGGGAGGGATTGTACAACAATGAAAGATGTTTACTTTTCAAAGAGAAGAACGAACTGGAGGGGAGGAGTGAGCAAGGAGAAAAGTGCAACAATGAATGAATGGAAATCCAAAGTCTCTGTAAACTTTCAATAAATTAATAATAAAAAAAATTTTAAAAATCAAAACAAAACAAACAAAAAGAGACAAAGCCTCCAAGGAAAGAAAATACTGCAGTCCAAGTTATTCTAGAACTTCAACATGGCAGTTCTTAACCATATGTGAAAAGAACAAAAGTAATAGTCAGCTTGAGTGCTATATTAATCTTATCTCAAGAGTGTGAATGTGCACCTACCCAGGGGCTGATGGGAAAAGGAAGCTCTCTCGGGGAGGATAAATAAGTCAGCACAGAGAGCAGTCGTTCAGTGAGTAAGAAGATCAACAGAGGAAACCCTCAACTGTGTACTGAACTCACCCACAGACCCACAATGTGACACACATTTGCCATCTTCAAAACACCCTGACTTTTTTTTTTCTAAACTACCTTTGACACATCATTCCTGCTACCAGTTGGTAGGTGCCACTGAGTAGACTGAGTTACAGGGACCCTGTGTCCAAACAGGAGCTCTGACCAATCCTGAACCATCCTCACAGTCTCCTCTGCACTCAAACCCACAGCTGCTCCCAGGTGCAACTGTATCTAATAGTATTTCTCGGGTAAATCTCGGCCCAAATTTTTTTAATCAAACTTTTTCCTATGCTTGGTAATGGATGACAAGCTAATCATAAGAAGAGTTTAAATCTGGCCGACGGGTTTCATAATTACTCAAAAGTCTAACTTGTGTAAACAGTCAAGGAAGGAAAATTCACAATTTGAAACAGCACAGCTCCTGGAGAGGGGGAACCTACTTTGGTTTCTCGGATTCTTTTTTGCTCATGCTCCTGGAAGGCCTGTCCCTTTCAGTGTCGGTGTCTGGCTCAGACCCGCTGCTGCTCGACTGTCCACGCTTTCTCTTGGTTTTTTTGTGATGCTGGTGTTTTCTTTTCTTCTTTTTCTCTTTCTTCTTTTTTCTGCTTGTTTGTTTGACTTTTTGGCTAGTGTCACTTTCATCTGAAGACTCTGACGTCAAAGGACTCCTGCTTGGGAAAATAAACATTAGAATCGTCTTCAAAAAGGCAGGAAAGTAACAAGAAAAATGAAAAAGAATAAAGCAACACACATGTATTAGAACTGAGGATGCTAGCAATGCTCACACAGGGTTACTCTCCGTCCACAGCAGTCCAGTACCTTCAGAGACTATAATTCACCCTTACGGAAATAATTTGGATCTAACTTTGGTGGCCTAGGGGCAAGAAGCTGCACTGCAATCCCAATGGCATGTAGTTTGAGGCCTCCAGCTGCTCTGTGGGAGAACGATGGTGAGTCTCCTAACTGCCTCTGAAAACCCACTGGAGGGTCAGCTATGGGTTGGTTCTGACGTGACAGTACATGACAACATAAAAGTAAGTGAAGACATTCTAATTGTAATAGTCTCTACACCAATAATATAAAACCTATACATCTTTAAATTACAGTGAGCTAGTAGTTATTTTAGAAGGGCTCTGTGGCTCTGTGATAAGGAGTTGTACTGCTAACTCAAAGGAATATGGTTCAAATCCATCAGATGCTCCATGGAAGAAAGACGGGCCTCTCCTCAGGTATGATTTACCACCTCTACAAACCTGCTGGAGGGTCAGACTTGATGGTACATAACAGTATCTATGTTAATCTTATAAAAGAAAATCATTTTCAACCAACACTATTTAAAACCTCAAAGTAACATCACAAAATATTTCTTTTCAGCTTCACCTATGATGCCAGCATGCCTTCAGGAAAAAAGAGTAATTCATTGCAGTTTTTGTTAAAAAGATTAAACCTCGCTCTTCTTCATTACAGAAGCATCTACAGACACCTTCCCTCATGCTTCAATTCTTCCCAATTGTAAAGGCTCCTTGGCTTTACTGTGCGGAGCTCACCCGGCTTCATCATACTAACAAGACCACCTCGACCGTATCTGTGAGAGTTCATTTCTCATGCAGTGACCTAAAACCAAATGCTCTCAAAGCTGGGGAGAGGTTAGTGCCATTATGCTTTCTGTGAAGTTTTCATAAGGTTCTAGGCTATGGTGTATTGGTGTATATGGCTGCCTCTATTTTGACCGAAGTGCTGAAAAATACCACGGAGGAGGTACCTGTGTAATATTATTGCAAAGGTTACTAATGAGGTCAGTCAAGTTAGCCAAGAATCACAGTGATGCCGTTTTCCTCAAGGCCTAATTACAGGCACTAACTGTGTCAGGGCCTTGTCACAGCGAGGCAAAGGAAAAAGGCCTAATCTATTGGGTGAGGGAGGGGAAACAGTCCGGAATGATCACCTCCTTACTTTAAGTAGGAGGAAGAGCTTTACTCCGTTCCTTTTCACAGAGTTTCCTAAGAGGCTCATCTGAACTCAGTTACAGACGGTAGCTTGACAAAGACTAGAAAACACTACCTTGTCGGTGGGGGCTTCTCAGAAACAAGGCTGGGGACCCCTTCAGGCTGTTGGCTCAGTGGTGTGAGGGTCCCAACACAGAAGCTTGGGTTGCTCAGCCAGTCTAATTCTGCACCTGCAACAGGGAGAGATGGGCAATGAACTCTGTTCAATAAAGTCTGTAAAGCGAAAAATTTGCTAATTCACAGTCAGTGTCCACCACACGTTCTGAACTGTTCACGGATGCAGTAAAGAGATCATGAAATTTTTATTTCACAGGACAAAGCACTTTAACACATTTTAAAATATTCAGGACCTGAAACCCTCTTGTGATTATCAGGCTACAGGTTAAGCAAAAACCGTGCGTGGGACAAGGGCGCTCCAACGGCAACGAGGCTGCACGTTTTCTGTCCACGTGCTCGCTGGCTGATAACGAGTCAGAATGCTTCCAGAGCATTCGCCTTTAATGACCTCAACTTTACCTTACATGCTTTCCTAAAAGGTAAGAAACTACATCATGGATAAAGGCCCCCACTGTGCCTAATATTATTCTAGAAGATTAGGTAGGAATTTGTAAAAAAAAACAAACCAAAAAAACGGTTCAATGTACCGTATCAATACAACACAAAACAAAAGCTTGCATCAGTATTAATCTTCTGGACAGTGATATGCTGAGGCTCTGAGTGGTACAACCGGTTAAGTAGTCAACTACCAGCCAAAAGGTTGGTGGCTCAAATCCATCTTCAGAGACACAGCCAGTCTGGTGATGTAGTTGGTAAGCAGCTGCACTCTGAACCCCAAGGTGGTGCCTCTGTGTGGCAGTCTGCATCTCCCAGAGGCTCCACAAGAGAGAGACGGACGATCACCTCCTGTGCAATTTACAAGCTCGAAGACCTGCTGGAGGATCAGCCAGGAGTCAGTTCTGCCTCAACAGCACTGAGATGAGTTTTTCTGAAGACAAGTGTGCAATCTGCTACCAAAAGGTCTCAGTCCTGAGGAATGCATGGCCGAGCTGGGCTCTGCACAGCAACGAGGGAGGAAAAGACCTGAAGGCAAGCAGTTGTCACCCGGATCTCACCAAGAAGAAAACTCACTGAGTCACGTAAAGGAAGACTTGCCCCTCCCTAGGCCTCAGCTTCCTCATCTGTAAATTGAAGGGGTTGAACTCCAGAAAAGTCACTGAAAGCTTTTGGGGAAGACTGAAGCCACACTGTGAACACTGCACTTAGCTGTTTCGTGCATGCAATTCACACCTGGATAACACTCCTTACTAAGTCATATATCCATCTAGTCACTTGGTAATCACTTATCAACAGCTGCTGGATGACAGAGTTCATTTTTATTCGTATCAACCTTACATAACAGAGTAGAACTTTCCTCAAGGGATTATGTGAAGCATCACTTTCAGAGAGGGAGCTCTGGTGGCCTAGTGGTAGGGAGTTACGCTGCAAAACACAATGTGGACAGTTCAAAGCGACCAAGTGCTCTGAGGGAGAAAGAGGGAAAATCCTCTCCCCTACCATTTACAGCCTCTGAAAACCCACTGGACAGTCAGCGATGAGTCAGTTCCGACAGGAAGGCAATGAGCTGAGCCGAGCTGCATCTCTATAGAGGCAGACTGCTGGGTCTTTCTTCTGCCCCCTGGGTGGGTGTGCACCAGCAATCTTGCAGTTAGCAGCTGAACACTTAACTATTGCATTAACAAGACTCCTACTGGGTAACCACCAAGTGTCACAATAGGATGAACGGTCCTCAACCTTACAGGAGTTGTCAAATGAATAAAACAGAAACAACAGTACAACTGGTGCTAGACCAAGGTTGGTGCAGGGGATCCAGTGACAGAAGTGAAGGGTGCCTAGTGACAGGGCAGGAGATGTGCAGAGGGTTCTGGAGTATACACGAGGAAGGTTTCCTGGAGAAAGGGAACGGCACAAAGAACTCCCAGTCTGCTCAGGAACCTAATAAGCTCAGAGCATGGGGATGGCACAACAAGAAGCAGAGGAGGGGGTGGAAAAACAGGCAGGCCTCATTCACGCTTCTATTCACTGCGGTGTCCCCAGCACCAAGCACAGTGCCCCTTACACCGCAAGTGAATGACTAAAACAAGGCAAGATCTGCCCCATATCTTCACCTCTTTGTATCCCCTGCACCTTGCTTGTGAACAACCTGAAGGGCTCTGAAATCTTTAAAAAGAAGTCAGGATCTACATGTAAAGTACATACATCTACTACAAGTTCACTTTGAGTTGTAAATACTTGGATGAATATAAAGAATGATTCAGTATCTACTATATACCTTGGCCTAGTTCTAGGCACAGGGGGTACAGTGGTGAACAAGACAGGAGAGGTCCCGCTGCTTACATGGAGCTTATAGTTCATCATAACCTTAACCACTCAAATCACATATCAGGATTGCTCAACTGTACTGAACAAAATCCTGGAGAAGTTTACCTGCGATTAAAAGATACCTTACTAACCAGATGGTAATATACGTGCTTACAGATGCCTATGTTTACTTATATCCTATCCTCACAGAATTAAAAGTACCTGATAGAAATAAAATACATATCACAGTATGCAAACCAATATAAAAGAATTTTTTTAAAAAAAAACAAAGTATTACATAATTGTATCCATACTAAGTAGGATGCAACATATTACAGAGAAGCCCAGCAGGATGCCAAATTCCTTAGGTTTAAAATAGTGACTCTGAATGGTTAACAATCCTTTTGTCTCTGCAGATTAGTAAATAAAACAATTCCAAGTTGGGGCTTGCCCAGAAATTAGCAGTCTGTATGACATTTGGTCTCACACACGCACATCTAAGAAAAGAAGAAGGGTAGAAACACTTTACAACTACTGGCTAACAAAAAAGCAGGTAGGTAGGTATCTGGAAGAAACCAACCTGTCAAAGTCTGCAGGGTAATTTAACAGAAAATGATACCATGAATTATCACTAAATACTTTAAGGAGATGATACCTTTTTGTAACAACTTTATTACATAACTCTCTTTCTCTACTGCTAGCTACAATATTTAAAATCATTCCACTATGGATAGATGGAGGAAAGAACTGCTATGAATACATATAAATTTAAAAACAAATTTTCATTATAATTGGATGAAATACTTAAGTTCAACATCTATTCCCTATTTTGACAAATACCAGGATTACCAGTTTGTTATTTTAAGTGGATTAAAAAGTGAGCTCTCCACCTTCAGAGATGATAATTTAAAAATTCTAGGGCTAATTGTAGAAATAAATTGTTGTTGTGACTGGGTACCATCAGGTCAGCTCTGAGTCACAGGAACTCTATGTACAAGAGAACGAAACCCTGCTTGATCTTACATCAGCCTCCCCACCTCTGCTGTGTTTAGTAGGGCAGCACTGTGTCAGCCCATCACCTGAGGGTCTTCCTCTCTGTGGCCAACCCTCTAATTTTCCAAGCACGATGTCTTTCTCCAGGGACTAGCCCATCCTGATTCTCTGTCTTCATCCAAGACAGATTTTGTGTGTTCTTCTGGCAGTCCATCGTACAGTCAATGTTTCTTGCCAATATTACAACTGAAAGGCATCAATTCTTCAGTCTTCCTTTTCCATATTCTCAAACCTGTGACTCTTCCTCAGAGACAAACTGTAGAGGACGAGAAGCAATTAAGGAGACACTCCCAGAAAGAACAGCTAGGCCAAGATTATGACTTGTGCAAGAAGCAAGCAAGCAAGACTCTTTGGGAAATAGCAGCAAGTCATCAACGTGGGAAGCATCAGGAGTGTGGAGGGTGGAGCAGAATGAAGCTGGAAGTGTGGGGGTCTGAAAACCACATCAGAGTTTGCATTTACCCCAATCAAGAAGATGTTCGCGAGTCTGAAGCAAGAGTGGCAGAATCAGATCTTGTATTTGAAAGATTGCCAGTGAAGAGTAGTATCGAGCACAAATTCTGAAGCTAGACTGCAGGAACACAAACCCTGGTCCTGAGCTTACCAGCCATGTGACAATGGACAAGTTATTAACTGGTGGTATTTCCTCTTCTGTAAAAATATTACTAATGCCGACTCACTGGGTTATCATGAAGAGTCGTTACTTTCTGAAAGCAGTTAGACCAATGAAGAGCACATAAGGCTTGACAGAAATACATTTCCGCATTCTGGCTAAAGTGTGGAGAGTGGTTCAGGCAGTGATGGCAGGACTGGAGATGGGGAGACCAACAAGGAGACTGCTAGACTAAGTCCACTGGAAGCTAATACCAATAATCAGGTAGCATCCACTCACCATTATTCGGTCAATTCCAACCCACCACAATCTCAGCGGACTGGGAGACCAGAACTGTCCCAGAAGGGCTCCCAAGGCCAGAATCTTTACGGAAGAAACTGCCACATCTTTTTTCCTATAGAAGGGCTGGTGAGTTTGAACTGCTGACCTTTTCTTTAGCGTTGAGCATTTCACCACCACATATCCAGTGCTCCCTAGGATTATACAATGGCAGAGGGAACACAGAGAATTCAATGAATTTGAAGGAAAACGGAATTTGGATGTGGGGCCTTTTCTGATATACACAGAAAGATGAGCAGTTTTAGGGAAATTTTGTGGAATTAAGAACTACTGAGTCTAGTTTCACCTGAAATTATGGATCACACAACCCCTTCTGATTAGCCTGTTAGGAGGAATGAGCTGATATGGCATCTTTCATCCCAACTGTATCCACGTATTCAACTTCCAAGGCACAAAGTTTAGGGCAGCTGTTAGTAGCCCTGTGTCTGTTCTGACTTATGGTGCCTCCAACGTGTACACAATCCTACTACAACAATTTGATGGGGTAGGAAGGAAAAGTCCAGGGACTGACGGGACCAGACAAGAGGAGCTCTCTGATGCCCCAAACACATGAGAAGTTTTGTTTTTCTTCTTGCAGAAACAAAGAATTCCACTAAAATGAACTCCACAAACCCCACTGAATGTGATGCCTACTCCAATACTGGCCTACATCATAAAGAATTAGGTAACAAACCACTGTGTTCATTTTTTATATTATTAGCAGTCTTTCTTGTACAGAAATTTTAAATTTTTGTGTTTTGTTTCATTTCTTTAAGTGAAATTTTACAGCTGCTACCACAAATGCTATTTTACATTT